AGCCTAATACACTTCCTGTCTTGAAAGTCAAGAGACTAGAATAATTTGTCTGGCTTTTATTTCAACCCTTAGTCAACTCTGTGCTTTTCTTTCAAGAATTTAATCAGGAACGTTGCTGAAACGTGGTTGGCTAAGCCTGGCAATCTGGACTGATCAAGTTTACACTGCCTAGTGTAGTACTGTGAACCATGTGCGGTTGTTTAACTGTGAGCTACAGTTTGAGTGCTCGATAACCACATGTAACTACTATGTGCAGACAAATACTGCCATCCCTAAAGGAAGGTCCTGGGGGGCAGCACTGCCCTGGCAACCCCTTCGTCCCTCCTGTAACTTCTCTTCCACCAGGGAAGGACACCTACCAGCACAAGAGGGACTGTGAACTCTTGGTCTCACTTGTCATCAAAGGACTTTAGGGACCCTATTGGCAAGGTATAGAGAAAAGCTTTTGGGGAATGAATTGTAGTGGTGCATGAAGAAATTCCCAGACTTTAGGGAATAAAATGGGATACAAATAATGTTATATATGTATATTAATAATTTTAGCCATCTTGCAGAGTAGTCAATTGCATGACATTTTTACATATATGTCCCATACCTCCTCCCCACTCTTATGTGTATGTATATGTGCATGCGTGTTTGTGTGTGTGTGTGTGTGTAATTCAAAGTTGTGAAGGCGTATATCTGGCCATTTCTCAACTATGTAAATAAAGACAATTTCATTTGTTGTTTATACCAGCTTACATTATTGTTATAATTAGCCCCAAATTTTTTAATAATTAGGAAAGCAAGATTCTTTTTTGAAAGGAAAATGACCTTGCCCAACTTGTGATGAGGAGGGATGAGTCTCCTTGATCTTTTACGTGTTGCACTTTAGATAAGACAAGATGTGTCTGCCCTCTCCCATTTTTGGAAGTGGAATAACTTGGGTAAGAAAGAGGGGTGGCATTTGTGACTGATGTGGTGGCTAGCATTTCTTGTCATCTTGTGTGGGTTTCTGTGTTCTTGTCTGTCATCAGTCCTAAAGGACAGGTACCGTCTTCCTTTTCGTTGGTCTCTCCAGCTGTTCTTGACCCCACAGCTGGTAACCATTACTAACTTGCTGACTGACAGGTTGGCTGCCCTTGCCATCACTCTTAGAATTTATGCTCACAAAATGTGTTAACATCTTGCCTCCTTTTGCGTTGGGTCTGAGAAGTCCCGCTCTTTCCAAATTTGCTGTTTGAAAACCATCCACTGGAATACAGGAACCATTCATCTGAAAATGAGTTGGCCTTCCCCTAGGTTTGTATGTGTGACAAGATGCTAATGGAAATCTTTTTCTGATCGTGTTGTTTTTATAGAAATAGCACTGGGAAGAGAGACCATGTTAAAACTCTGTGATTTGACTTACCGCCACCACCCAAGCAATGCATTCAGCATCTCTGTTTGGGCTCCCCGAAGAGGGTGGGGTGCAGTTAATGAAGAGAGGTCTCCTTTCCCAGGTTAGCTATTAGAGTCATTAAACATGCTTGTAGGGACATTCTGGTTTTGACAGGTTCTCAAATCAGTCACAGTTCCCAGGCAGGAATCATAGACTCCATGGCTCTCTCCTTCCTTAGGTCACACCTGGGAGATAAGGCGCTGTGTGGATTATCACTGGGTGTGAAGCCAATGTGGATTATCACTGGGTGTGTTTTTGCTCTGTGTGGATTATCACTGGGTCTATTTTTGCTGGCTCACAAACCTTTTAAACTTAATTCACATCAAACTCCAGAATACAGATGGAAGCATGCGACATTTCTGCTTCCTCTCAGAAACAGGAGGGAAGATAGACAAAAAAAAAAAAATGAATTAGTTTTCACAAAAGGCCAGTGAGTGTCTCTGTCGTTGCACCTGAATGATTGATGTTCCTGTTTGGAGAGTCGTGGGAGTTGGGTGAAAAATGTCTTCTCTTCCTGGAAGGGTAATGTTACACTCAGGAGTGATCCGAGGGGATTTATGGGTGACAAATTTGAACAGAGCCAGCATGGAGCTGTAGATAGCAGATGTCTGTTCTGTGCAGTAAGGAGACGTTACGTTCCAATAGAGTGCGGCAGTCGTTTCTTCCTGAGGTACCCGCGCTACTTTCACGTGCGCCTGACGTGGGGACCCAAAGTCACGATCTGTCAAAGGGATGACCCAAGCTGACAGATCCAATTTCTGGTTCTTTCAAACCACTTAGACCTGTTGTTCTAGGCCCCGCCGAGGTGAATGAGGAAGTCATGGTACATGTTAGCTCACGCAGTGTCTGGCAACCATAGCTCATTTCTCCAGTGAGCCGATATGGGTTCATTTTCCTCACTTTGTGGTATGCTAAGATTACAATAAGTCAATCTTAATTCTATACTGGGGTTTACTGCCTATAGTTTACATCCATCTTACATCTATTTATTGAAGGGCATTTTGCCTTTTTTTGGAGATTTAACTTCCCATAATCAAATTTATCTTATTTTTGAGAACTGTATTTTCATGGTAAAGTGATTTACCTTATACTTTTTTTCTATTTTGCAAATGCATACATAAATTCTATTACTAAAATATAGGGAACATAATTATATGCTATGTAAATATTGTATAATTTTTGTTGTAACTCGGTGTGAGATCATCATTATCATTAACCCCGTTTTACAAGTCAAGACGCTGAGACACCAAGACTATGCGGTTGGTATGTATTTTAGTGAGGACTTGAGCCCAGGCAGCCAGACTCCAAAACACTCACTACTTTTAAAATCTGGGCAGAAATAAAACAAAAAGGCAGCCATAGGTGAAGCATTTTGCTGTGCTCGTCCTGTGTTTAGACTACCATAAGCTGATCTCTCCTAAAACGCCAACTTTGTTTCTGGCCTTTGTAAAGACGAGACAAACGGAGCGGTGTTGGTAGGGTGGCTGGTGGCACTGTCTGGAGAACAGCGCAGCTTTCCGTACTCTGCCATTCTCTGATGCTTGGCTGCTTGGCCTCTGCTTCTGCCATTGTTTGTATGGAAGTGACTGTCTCGGCAGAACGTGCTCTTCAGCGTAGTTTTAGGATTACTGATTCTCGGGCGTAAAACTGAAGTCCAAGGGAACGAACCCATGGGTATACTGTAGTTAGAAGGAATTAGATACTTGTCCAAAGATCCAGAAAATAGAATCTACTTTTCCCAGTATCTAAAAAAGTAAGCCGAGCCATGCGTACCTTCTTCTCCAATCACGCTTCAGCCCTAAGGAGAGATCCTTGCTGGTGTAATACAAAGAACAGGAAATGTTAGTGTTATTTTAATGTCTCTATTTCTTGGTTAGCTGGGGGGTTGCCTTCCTTCATTTTGGTCAGTTATTTTGAGTATTTGAGAGCGATCTGTTTGGGTCTTTGCCTGTCTCCTTAAAAGAAGGCAAAGCCCATTAGGAATCAAAACCAGAAGTCATGACTTCATGTTTCTCTCTGCTTAGATATGGAATTTCCATAGATACAGTTTTAGTCTAAACTCTAATGATGCTTTGCCTTTCCCCAAACCTTACATGAATGTTTTCTACAGATTCTGTATAACATGTACTGTTACCCACTTAGAAAGGACCATATTCTGTGAATTTGCCCAGAGCAGAAATCTGCATTTAGTCTCTGTCGAATATCATAAGCTCCTAGAGGGAGGCGCTGTGTCTTTATGAGCAGCTACACACATTTTAGTGGTGTTTACAGCAACTGTAGAATAGCCCTCGGCCAAGGTGAGTCAGGCATGTGCTGGGTAACAGCAGGTTCCAACTGGACAGCGAGAAGAGTGCGTTTTCAGTAGGGAGCCTGTACCCAGTGTCCCTGATTTTAAAGAGAGCTAAGAAGAACCAAATAGCACCACCACCCTTCCACACTGGAAGAGTCTCAGCAGAGCTTTCCGTCTTAAGAAGACATGGCTGTAATGGTAGAAGACATTCGAGACCAGGGTTCCAAAGTTGTGTGAGCTGGTTCTGTGTTCTCCATCAGTTAGTGTTTGCAGAGGGATCCTAGGGTACTTCCTCTAGTAATCCCCTCATTTTTCCCATTAAAAACAGAGGAGTAATATGAATAATGACTGGCATTTCTAAAGCACTTTAAAACATCATAAGCCTGCGTCTTTATCCAGTGACTCAGCCAATCCCCACAATAGCCCTGTGCGGCAGACAATGGCACTCACATTTTACAGCTGAGGAAACACACAATGGAAAGCAGCATCCGAAGGCAACGGAGCCTCAGCTCCCCCATCAGTAGAGTGTGCAACGAGGATTGCATTATTATGTCTTTAAAAGCATATTACACGCTCCGAAAGTAATCCATTGATACACATTATCATGAAGCAAAGAGAGAAAGGGGGGGAAAGTGAGGAATCGGGGAGGATGTAGAGGCTCACAGAAAAGGACCACATGGGAACACAAGAAAAATACCATTGAATAAGAGCAGAAACGAAGGGGAGAGATGAAACAATGCAATACGGTTGTCCATAGGTTGGTGGGGGAGTTTCAAGCATTGGGATATCTTTCCTCATTTCCTTTATCGTAGTATTTTTTTGTTTGTTTCCAGTTTCCTCTTTTGCCGCAAGGATTGGAAACAGTAATAATAAAATAGAATACAGTAGGCCCATGTGTAGGGTGCTAGGAACCTATTTAAATGGCAAGGAAGACTAAAGTGTTGGAAAGATGGATAGATTGGTCTATGCTAGGCTATGTCTGTTTGTATTTAGGATGGGCACAATCAAGGGCCTTGTGCAGGGTTTCAGTCGGACGTGGAAATGGACTGAAGTGGGGGTAAAGACGTTAAGATGCCTGCAGAGCCCAGTGGGAGGAACTGGGATGAGACCATTTCTCCCTAGAGTGGTCACAAGCCTTGAATGTGGCTCACCCAAACATTTGTTGAGACGACTTCTCAGGTCCTCTAAGATGCAAAGGCATTTTGTCAAATCAGTCCGACTCAGAGAGGCTCTTCCTGGATGGGGCTGGTTTCGGGCCGGAAGTAGCGCACTGCCATGCTTGTGTTTCAGGATTTTATGGCCAGCTGCAGACATTCTGCCCCCCACATTACCCGGATACTCTGCCACCCAGCAGCTCCTGCAGTATGGTACCTGCCTTTGAGGACTGCCTGGTCCCTACGTCCATGGGTCAGACTGGCTTTGACGTTTTCCACAGAGCCTTCTCAACACACTCAGGCATTACAGGTGGGTGTCTGGGACTTGGCCAGAATGAAGAGAAGCCAGGAGCTTTTCCAGTTGCTGCCAGGGACAGTGTAGAATTCAGGAGAACAACCCCGGAGATAACTTCTCGGCTTCACCTTCTGCCCTGGCTCTCATCCCTTTGTCCACCTGCACAGCGGCCAGCATTTCTCCCCCAGGCTGCAGCAGTTCCTTCCAGTGTACCTCCCACTTCACCCTCTCACCTGTACCATTCTACCCGGTTGGCATTGCTCGCTAATCCAAGTGATAAGTTATGGCACTTCCCTGCTAGAGGATCTTAGCCATATCCAGTCTCGTCACCTGTCAAGCTCCCTGCTCTGGCACAGTGGTGAGGCTCATGACTGCCTAGTCAAGTTCTCCAGACCTGCCCGCACAGACTTTCCCTTCATCTTACTTTTATTTTGTCTTATACTCACTTTCCTGTTCCCACGTGTCCCTTCTTCTCTGCTTTAGCTCTGTTTCCTCCTTCTGGAACATTCTTTCCTCACTTCACCATCTGTAAATTCCATTCTTTCTCTTGACTCATCTTTATTGTTGTGACTGCTCATTCCATTCTAAAACACCTTTTACTTCCATTAAGGTCATTCATCTTCATCTTTTCAGCTAAGGTTTTGTGTTAAGACACATCCATGCAAGCTGTTCCCTTCTACCAATCCGTTCCGCAAGGACACACCTAGGTCCCACCAGCATCTGTAGGTAGCATGGGTGTATTGTGTAGCCACTGGGACTGCATAGCGCAGGAACTGACTGACTGACTGTCTGTGTTCCTTCTCTTCCAGTGTACGATTTGCCTTCAGCTTCCTCCAGCCTCTTTGGGGAATCTCTCCGCAGTGGCCCTGAAGATCCCGCGTTCTTGCAGCTCAGCGCTGTGGACCGCTGTCCTAGTCAGCTGTCCTCCGTGTATACCGAAGGCTAGAAGGCTCCGCAGGTCTCTCCTGCGCATCAAGGACCTTTGAGTTGCTCATCACCTCTTATTTTCATACTCTCACAAGATGTGTGAAGGATGTCAACCAAATCCGTGGAGCCAGTAGGGTCACGTGGTCTCTGGAAGGCGGGACCGCATGGTCGGTTCTCACTATTCAGAAATGCCTGCACCTCTTCCATTTTCCCTCAGTTTGCTGGGCCAGGTGACAATCAGGAATTTCTTTTCAAAGGGAATTTAGAGTCTCACTTTAAAGATACCTGTCACTTCCTGCCTGTCAGCTCTCAAAAGACACCAATGAATGTGTCCATGAATGGGATGACCCTTGCTGAAGGCTCGAAAGCGGGGAAAACTGCCCAGTCCCCAGAGGCTGGGTGTGCCACCTCGCCCTGTTTTCCCTCCTGGCTGAGTGACGCACAGTCGTGGACAGTGAGGGAAATGCATGTCCAGAGCAGGTGTGGCTTAGACACTCTCAAACTCTGGCTTCAACATTTGTCTTACGTAGCCCATGCTAACTCTTTGCTCCTCAGTTGCTCCTCCACCAGTGGCAAAATAAGGTTTTATATTCACTGGCCTACTTTGTTTTTGAACTTTAAAGACTTGCTTTTTACATCTACTTTTAAAGGAAAAATATTTAAAGGTTTGTTCATTTGTTATAAGTCAGTACCCTTTTAATCACCCCAGCTGCGTGTATTTTACCACAGCCGTAACTCTTCCTGGCCTAATTTTGCAGTTTAGCAAAGGTTATCTGAGGAAAACAGAATAGTTTTGTGCACGTATGCGTGCGTGCTTGCACACACACACACACACACACACACACACACACACACACACACACTCTCTGCCTGCCTCCCTCTAGGCTTGTTACAAGAACCCTTAAGTGCTGTGTCTGGTGGGTTTTTTTCCCTCTAAACCCCAGCATTTGAAAGGCATTCTGAGTTTGAAGGTAGCCTGGTCTACACAGTGAGTTCCAGTCCAGCCAGAGATACATCTTAAAAACTAATAATAACTTTCATGTATTGATGGCTCAATGACTCCAGCCTGAAAAACATCTCGTGTGATGGTTTGTGCATTGCCTCTACTGTAGTGCTTAGACCAGGAATCATGAGAGCTGGGACACACTGAGGCTTGTGCGTGGCTTTGTTCAGAAACCAAGCCAAGCGCCCCTGTGGTCCAGTTATTCCCTGTGCCTTCTGCCCAGTTCCTTCCAGGGTTCCACTCGTCTCCGTCTCCTGTGTTCTGCCCTTCTTATTTTCACGTCCTCTCCTCCTTTCCTCACTGTGTTTCAGCTGTACCGACATCCCCAAATCCTGTCAACTCTTGGGAATGTTCACAGAAGGTAGACTCAGGAAAGCAACTTTTTGGAACTCATCTTTGAAGGCCTGGAATTTTTTACAGAGCACCTCGCCTTTTTATGTTAAGCCTAAACACGACATCATTTTCCACGGACAGAAAGGTACTTTAAAAGAGCCTGTGTCCTAGGGCAGAGGCTGTATAAATAAGCCAAACCCCAAAAAAGCTGCTCAGTTCCAGCATTCTGGTTCACTCATATTTCAGGATTTGTTTGCTTCTTAAAAAAATGCTTTTTCAAATGGAACTACAGCTAAATTCTTTATGAAACTGGGGTCACTGTGACCTTAAATAGCTCAGTGTCTGGGGGTCCTGAGACTGCTTGTGCTCTAATAGACAGGCGTGTGAGTCCCAAATCAGAAGAGTTCCACCTCTTCCCACGCTTCACTCCGGATGCCACTGGATGGGGTAGATAAAGAACCGGGTGTGGGTTCTAGTTTCACAGCCTATGGCTTGGACTGATGTTGCTGAAAAGGCCGCATTCTTGGGGTGAACTATTGTGTAGACATCTGAGGCACAAGACCTTGAGTTCTCTTGGGTCTTCTGAACATTAAGGAAGAAGGCACATCAGGCTACCTCCACAGGTGAGCTCTCAGGCTGCTAAAACTATAACCCTTCAAGACCTGGTTGGGTCATTACACTTGGGCTAAGCAAGAACACACTTACGTTAACACTGACTTACCTGGTGGAGGCCCTCATTTTACTTCTGTCACATTCTAGAAAGAAAAGGAGACCCTACTCTCAAGGGAAGCATCATTCAGTTCTTACACCCTAAAGCTTTCACAAGGCACCCTAGGCATATTTCATCTGGTGCTAAGGAAAGAACAGATGAAAGGCTCTTGTCCGCTCCACCTTGTGGAGTTACATGAGTAGGCTGAGCATCATAGAAGGGAACAGAAGCACAGGGCCATACATGACATCTCCCCCTGTGGCGGAGACGTGGGCTCGTGAGGCAGGCTCTGGACTCATGGCTGCATGGCACTGCTTCTTTCCTGGATCACCTAGGAGGATTTCGTGTCATCAAGGCCTTCTTACTAGGTCATACATCCAGTCCCTGCCCCATAGGCAGCTGCAGAAGGACATTCTTGCTGTCAGAAAGAAGCATGCTTGGAGCCAGGTCCATTGCAGCCCTCCTGAAGGTCCTCCTCAGTGTATTCCTGAAAGCCGCTGGTCTGTGGGCAGGGCCTAATGACATGTCACATTCAGGGTCCTTCACTTTGCACAAACTCTGTCTATCCTTAGGTTCCAGAATTTCTCCTAAGCTTGAAATGTGCCCCTCACTTACTTTGACCTACATAGTTCCGTCCGTGTTTTTAAAGCAGCGAAAATCAAGCTTAAAAATCATAGATCATTCCCTTCCATTCCTGGGCCCTTTTAGTCCTGATGGGTAGCCATTTTTATAAACATCCAAATGGAAATCGTCATTCCCCTTTAAAAACAAAAACACAAACAACAAAAACTAGTGCTGGTGAAAACACACATAGCCCAAATCCAATTATCCCATTACACAAAACAGATCAGTATGCCTAGAGACATTTCATTGCTTCATCCGTTGCCATAACTCCCTAAAGGGACTGCGTCAAAGTGTCACTTGTAATTTACGCTCTGATCATCACTTAACTGTTTAAATATCTCATGACCCTGAGAGGTACAGTTCTTTATGCGGGTCTGCACCATGACCCAGCTGATTTCAAGTGGACAATGCAGTGTGTGGCAGACCACAGGATAAAAATCCCGATGACAGTGTTGGTTAGCTCCAGTTCAAGTGACCAACTGGCCAGGGTTCTGGTTCACTAACACAAGCTTGGGACAGGGCTAACCAGCCTCCGTGTCATAGAACTTATCCCCCTCCCCACCCCCTGATTGCCTGGAAATTTTGACAATAGCCTCCGCAATGTTCAGTTTTATGATTTGGTGTTTGATTTGATGTGACTGTTTAGACCCATGTTGTCATTGCTGCAGATAGAGTAACAGGGCAAGAGAAAAAAAAAAAAAAACCAACTCATTGGATAAAATGGGGAGTGTAAAAATGAAGAGATTTATTTTGTACAGACAAAGAAGTGTCCTCTGTAATGTTGCTGACATAAAGCACTTTGGGGGGGTGAGGGACGTGGAAGTCTGTTTCCCATAAATCATGCAGCCCCTTGTACAATCTCGTGCTGGATGGGGCCGGCTGGGGTGGAGAGAGCACATCTGGTGCTGGTTGTCGGAAATCTTTTAAGGAATTAGGTACACTTTTTTTCTATTAATATGTATAGTTTTGCGATTTGTCACAGTTATGTTTCATATAATCATAAGTTATTTTGTCTTGTTTCATGAAGTCCTTTTTTTATGTCAAAAGCAAAAAAAAATGAAGGGATGGTGTACTTGGCACAGAATAAAACTGGAACTTAGAGGATCGCCCCTCCTGCCTGAAGCACTCCTTCAGTGCCGCGGCTTTGAAACAATGGCAACCAGTGTTGTTTGTTTGTTTGTTTTATTGTTCAGTTCTGTCACCAGCCTCCTCTGTATTGGGGATGGTGATTATAATTAAAAGCAGATGGGGAGGGGGGGGTCCAAGGCCAGCTTGAAAATGCCGCATTGCTTTGGGCCAGAACTGAAGCCTGGATTTAATTATAGATATGAGGACGAAATGGCAGTAAAAATGAATGTCTCCCCGAATCCTTTACATGTTGGGAGTGTCCATAAATAAAACATGAAGTTTTATTTCATCACATTTAATTAAAGCTTTTATACATGTTTTATTGGTTATTCTATTAATCCACTTCACAAACTGGATAAATGTGTGCGCGGGCTTGGAGTTTATTTGTGCTTTTTCAGCGGAGTGCTGCCTCATGCTCCAGCAATGCCTCTGGTGCTTACTACCCCAGGTGCTGGGCTTCCAGTGCGCCGCGGGTGGGAGGGGTGGGCTTTCAGTCCCATTCTCCTAAAACCTTTCAGGGGAAGACAGCACCATCAGCCTCCAAGGATCGGCCTTGGAATCCCTGGCGCCCCGTGGGACAGTGGTTCCTGCCCTGGTGTTCTGCTCTTAGAAGGCCCCCAAGTCCCTTGCTGTACTGTGGCCTTTATACCAGTGATTCTCAACCTGGGGGTCGCAGTAGCATGCATAGCAGATATTTACATTATGCATCCTAACAGTAGCAAAATTGCATTATGAAGTAGCAACGAAATAATTATATGGTATTCAAGGGTTGCAGCATAAGGAGGTTGGGAATCACTGCTCTGGCATCAGGGAGAGTGGTCAGGATGGTTTGGCACCCACAGCCTGCTAGTCAAGCACAGGCACTTAGGAAGGTCACTGTACAGCTGGGAGGGCTGGCACCTGCCTGCAGCCCCCACACTCGGGAGGCTAAGGTATAGTGATGAGTGGCAGGCTGCGGTTTTCGAGAGCCGCCGGCCACTTCCGGCTAGTTTTACAACCGACCGTCCCGCATCACAAAGGCGTGGTTGTGAGTTTGAGGCCAGCCTGGGCTAAACAGACTTAAAATCAAAGAGTTATTTTAAGGTACCTACCTAGATGACTGGTATTCTATTGGGTTCCCTGACATCAGAGAGCGGGCACAGAATGAAGAGATTCCTTGGCTTCCTCAAGCAACAGTTGCTGTGGATGTGACTTGTTCCCCCAAGGGAACAGTTGGGTGTAGCACGGTTAATAAAAACCCAGAGGCATATACTGGGGTTCAACCAGAAGGTCAGAAAACCAAACAGCCAACCACTGGCTCTTACCGCTACCTCAGTCTGAAATGGCGATCCTGCCTCCAAGAATCTCAGAATGAAACAGAGCTGTCTCCTCCCGTCTTATATTCCTCTCTAGGGTTGGGATTAAAGACACGCACCACTGCCGCCCAGTTTCTATGACAAAGCAGTGTGGCTACTGGGATTAGAGGTGTGTGTCACCACTGCCTGGTCTGTAAGGCTGACCAGTGGAGCTGGTTTACTCTCTGACCTTCAGATAAGCTTTATTTATTAAAATACAAATTAAATATCACTACTGTTGGGGAGTAAGTGGGAGAGTTTGTGGAAGGCAAATCCCATGTCCCAACAATGTCATTTCTCTGTCCAGAAGTCAAGGATGCTCAGGTGCAAGGTGTTTATTGTAGTTTTTAATAGTTCCCAACTAGAAGTGACTCAACTACCTACCCACTGATAGGTGAGTGAACCAATGAGCCTTGCCGAAATGATAGAATGAATGAGGTACCATGAAGGGGACCAGTGACAAGACCGGAGTCCCACACAGTCCCACGCGGCAGCCTCCCAAACCCAATTGAGAAAAGAGAGATCACTCAGTGCGGCTTTATTAATGGCTACTTTAAAACAAGCAAAATTCAATTCAGTTCCGTAGTTTAGGTGGTAGTGTTGCAAAGAGCAGCGAGGAAGCCATTACCACAAATCCCTGAAGGGGAGAGGCTCTTGGGACCCAGAGCTGCCGAGAGAATGCTTCACCCCTTTGTCCAAGTGCCGGGGTACCCAGGTGTGTAGTTTATAATTATTTTTACTGAGCATCTATATAATTTTTACTTCAGATAACAGAACGTGAAGTCTTTCATCCCCGGCAAACTGCTTCTGCAAAGAGCCACATGGTGCATATTTTATACGCGGTGGGCTACCTGGTCCCCCTTTCGTCCACTCTGCCGCTGCAGTTCAGAGCCGCTGTAGACAGTGCACAGACACAGGCGTGGCAGTGTTCCCACAAAACTTTGCTGATGGATGCAAACCTGGAACATAGCCTCATTTTTAGATATCCATATTTTTTTAAGTCCGACTATTTCAAACATCATTTTAAAAAGATACTCTTTTAAAAAAAAGCATTCATGCATCATACAAAAACAAGGGACGGTGGGCAGCAGGATTTGGCCTGTGGGCCGCGGTGTACTGCCCTTCCTCGGCTGAAAGAGGGTCTCCAGTCTATCCCGTAAGTACCCACTCAAAGGAAGCTGCGGACAGGAACCGCTGTGATCCTTCTTCAGCTGCCTATGGTCCTGTTCCTGGAGGGAATTCATGAGTTGTATTGATTGAGCTTTTCTTTGTTTAGATCTTGGGTTCTGCTTCCCGGGATACAGATGAATGCTGAGAGCCCGGAGTGCCATTCCACTTTATCTCTGGATTTAACATTTTTAATAAAAGCAACTGGGCATACAGAAATCTGTGAGAACTGGAAAATGAGTGCCCATTCTTTCCAAGCTAACCAAATATTTGCTGGATCTTGGCAGCCATAGCCAACCTTTTTCCGCGGAAATGCTGAGAGCTCATAAGTAATGGATGCCTTCATTTTTCTCAGGCCACGGCGCTTATGAGAAACTGGAACTGCCTCGAAACCTGCAGGGGAAAGAGTGAAAGGTGCTGGCGAGGAAGGGAGATGTGGCCTGGTGGTAGAACGCATGCGCATGCTCTGCAGGCACTAGTAAGCCCCTGCCTTCCATCAGCAGGAAGTGGCCGAAACAGAGTCAGGGAAGTACTGACAGTTTTAGGCCTGCTCCAGGTAGGTGGAGAGCAGATGTGTTCCCCCCACCCACTCCTTCCCTGCTCCCCTGTGCCCTCTGTTTTCCCGGTAATGCCTAGCTTTCTGATTCCAGAGCATATGGCCAGTCACAGTAAATTGACACGGGCGAATGTGGATGTTTCTCTTTGTGTCTCTAGCTTAGGCAAAATTGGTTCTTTGCAAAAAACTGTCGGTCTTCATGAATCTTGAGTCATTTACTTAATATCAGGTTGGACTAAGTCGTCATTAACAGGTCTCCCCCGCTAGTTTCGTGTGCTTGAGTTTGCGGGATTGAGCGCTGCTGCAATCTTAGTATTTGGGGGCAAAATAGCTCCGTTTTATAGTTGAATGAGAAATGAACCAGGGGAAAGCTGGAAGAGCTGCCAGTCAGCTCCTTTTAGAGAGGAGGAAACAGGTGATTTCATTCATTCATCTCTTCATTCGTTCATTTTGTTGTTGGTTTCGGTTTCTTTGTGTAGCCCTGGCTGTCCTGGTACTCACTCTGTAGACCAAAATGGCCTTGGAACTCACAGAGATGCGCCTGCCTGTGCCTCCCAAGCTCTGAGATTAAAGATGTGAGCCCTCCACCACCCGGCTTATGTGTTTTTTTTTTAAATTGTGTACCAACTGTATATAAAATAAAATGAGGACGCTCATCTTCAAAGAGCTAAAGATCATAAGAATCAGCCAAAAAAGAATTACTGCCCAGGGCTTTTTTTAATGCATGTTTTATGGGACCAGCCAGACTGATAACTGCATTCAGTACCCTGAACATACATGGTAGAAACCCCAGAGGGTTGTTACCTGACCTCTACAGGTACACTGCGGTGTTCCCCCACACAAGCAAACTATATAAAACTAATATAATGTTTAAGTAATGGGGAAATGTGTATTTCAGAAGCACTGAATACATAGCGCGGAGTGGAGGAGAAATTCTGGTGACTTGAAGGCACCCAAATGTTGAATAGTTCTCCAGGTGGCTGTTTGTGCAGGCCTCAGCTGACTGCCTCTGACATCGTGGAAACAGGGTACTTAGGAGAAATGGTGGGGAGCTTGCAGAGCAGAGGTGTTCCTAGAAGAGGGGCACCTAATTCCTGCCTGGGGGAAGGAGACACAGGGTCGGAATTGCCTGGGAGAAGTGAGGGGGTGTGGGAACTAGTCCTGAAGGATGAACGGGCCCTCCACTGGGGAGGGAGGGAGGGAAGTCACTCAGCGCACTAACTGGAGGGACGGAGATTGCTCTTCTCAGCTCAGAATGATTCTTTCAAGACTCCTGGCTCAGAGCTACAGCCCTTTTTCCACAGAGGCCTGCTAGACTCAGGGCATTGTCTCCCCTGCCAACAGCAGGTGGCCCGTTCCCACTTACTCTACAAAATAAGGTCACTGTGGAATTTAGGGATGATGGATCAAGGTCACGTTAACCTGTCTTTACCTCAGGACCACTCAGGGCCTCCAAGAGAGAATCCAGACAGCACACGCAGTTTGCAAACCAAGAAAGCAATCCTTTCCCCCCAGAAAGACTTGTTAGTACTACGGAAACAATGGAGTGGTTCCTTTAAAAAGTAAGCCTTGCCATTACCCCATGACTCATCACTTCCTCACTGACATCAGAGGCTCAGCGGCAACCATGCCCAACAGAGGACGGTCTGATCAATGGTGGGCCTCATGCC